AGTGGGGGCAGAGTGGGGATGGGAAGAGGTAGGGTGGGGATGAGGGCTTGGAGGAAAGATTGGAGGAGGGTCAGAGCCCAGAACAGGAGGGGTTGAGAATTCTCAGCTAGAGGGGAGCTGTGTAGTTTTTTAAAAGGCACAATTATGGTATATAGATGACATTATGGGATGGAGACAGTTGCATGCTGGGAAGTTGACTTCTTGCTCCCAGCCATCCCTGCGTGGCTCATTTCCACTCCACCATGCATTGCCAAAAATTCCTAAAAGAAAGTACCTGGGATAGTAGGGTTTCACACTGGGATGCCTCCCCATCATGCACCACGCAGTGCATTGAAACAAGCACTCCTGGGGTGAGTACATGTGGCACTGACGCCAGGAGCCAAGTATGCACATGCACAAGCAATATACTAGCTTCAATGGCTCTCTGCCAACGTGACTTGCGTCAACGAAATAATAATAAGCAAACACTGACGGAGGCAGATTTTTCCCAAATGTTTACAGTTCATTCTCAGATTTCAGCCCAGGTGGGTTTCTAACTTCAAAGTTGCAAGCTCAGATTCCAACATGACTTGCGTCAAACAAACGCTGACACATCAATCAAACACTAATAAACAATGCAGATATAGCCTTCATGTGCAGAATGACCAGGGAAGGGTGATTTATACACTAATTTTCTATGAACTAAGTGTTTGTGTAGACAAGCTTTGGCTTAGGAACTTACCCAAAGTCACATGGGAAGTCTATGGCAAACCAGGGAACCCCAAAGCAAATTATTTACATAAACAAAATATATTAGACACAGATGATGCTTCATGAGATAAGACTATATCAAATCAGCTAGGTTTAGCTTCCAATATTCTGAAACAGGGTGAGTATCTGGTCAGATCTCCTATTTGTTGGTAAGAGTAACTTGGACAGTTCACTGGATGCATACATTAAAGGGACTTTGTGTACAGAGCTGCAGACAGTGCTACATTTGTGATATTAGCCTCATCCCACTTCTAAATACCTTATGCATGCTGCTTCCTGAATGGCCTCTGTGAAAGTGGCTCTGTGGAAAGCTGGAGAGGGGAAGAGCAGAGGATTGGTTTGCTCTCCACAGCATCATTACAAGCTTATCCTAGTTGTATCCTACTTAGCAGATATTGATGTATCGATTGCTCCGGTAAACCTCATTTCACGAGGCATACCGGAGCGGTCGACAAAGGCTACCCTTGTCGACCGCGACGTGTCCAGACTGCCCTGCTGTGCCGCCAAACAGCCGATTGGCACAGCGCAATGGCCATTTTGATATAAATGAAGCGGCGATTATTTAAATCACCGCTTCATTTTCCTATGTCTAGTAAACTCATCTACATGGCTCCGTCGACGGAGCCATGTAGTCTAGACATACCCTCAGTGGCTGGCCAACTCTGGAGGTTAGTGGGAGCTGGGCTCACTCAAAATTAATTATTATTTTTCAAGTATCCAAAATTGTGCCACGTGCATCCCCAAATCAGCAAATGCATAGTTCCTATCTGGAAGAGCTCGCAATCTAAAGTCCGTGTGACACAAGTAAGGAGCAGTGGCAGAGAAAAAGCTTGAGTCTGCAAGGACAAGGGAGAGTGCAAGGAATTGCACTTGAGGTCGGTGCTTGTGCAATGGCTGGCAGGAGATGGGGGAGGGAGGCAAGTCCCCTTGTGCCCTCCCACCTCCACTGTGCGTCCATGAGAGGCTGGGCACAAGCTGGCCCAGAATGTTCTGGCTGAAAGGACAGAACGTTGGGGCCAGAAGGTTCCATGGAGGTTGGGAATGACAGTTGAAGCTGGGCAGTTGGATGGGAATGGAACGTGCAGCAGCAGAAGAACCTTCGAGAGCAGGGGAGGAAGGAGCAGGCAGCAAGGGAGGGGAGAGGATGGATAGGTGCCTGTCCTATATACCCTGCACCCCATTCCCCCATCCCCCTTTTCATATCTAGGCAGTGACCAAGGGCCACAATGTTCAACACACAGACTAACCTAGGAGGCAGGGCAGAACCATTCCACGCAGTGGCAGCTCCAGAGACAAAACTCCCCTCCACAACCCCTACCCACAGGCACACAGGCGTAAGAAATAATGCTCCTAAAAACTGGTCCAGTGTTGCTGCCCCCTGTCCACAGAGTGTGCCAGGTCGGGATGGAAAGCAAGACCACAGACAGGCCTCCTCACCAGCCTTCCCTCATACCACATGCACAAAATTTCATGTGCCAGGGCCAAGTGTCTGCCTGGCCCTTTCTAGGAAGGGGGAATGATCTATGTGACTACCACACTCCTGCCTCCCACCTTTTACCCACACGAGGGCCAGGCCTGGTTGGCCTCTAGTTTTGGCAAGTTTAAAAAAAAAATTTTTTAATCACACTCAGCCCTTTCACACTGGGATGAAACAGCTCAGTGAAACCCTTTTAAACATCTGTTTTTAAGGAGAGTTTCTGAGCACAGTAGAGATGACCAAAAGCCAGTTGAAAAAACCAACAACGCCCTGGAGAATATCAGAGCACGCTGAAAGAATGAAAATAAAAGTGAAATCCTCCTGAAATTATAAGTGCTATCAACTTTCACTGTAGAGTGGATGGATAAGGAGAATGTAAATTGCTGCCTGACCTGTTTATTGTTTATATATCAAAATGAAAACCTATTTCTTTTTTCATCTGCAGCTACATCTTATCTCTGGGACAGTTAGGCTACGTCTAGACTGCGGGCTTTTTGCACAAGAAGCTTTTGTTGGAAGAGATCTTCTGCAAAAACTCCTTGCACAAGAGAACGTCCACACAGCAAAAGCGCATTGAAAAAGCGATGTGATTTTGTGAAAGAGAGCATCCAGACTGCCTGGGTGCTCTCTCACAAGTAAGCAGTGATTGCTATGGACAGAATGGCCACCAGAGCACCTGTGCTTTTTTCTCTTCCCTCTTCTTGTGCAAAAATCCCTCTTCCCCATCCACACTTGCCTTTTTGCACAAGAGCTCTTGTGCAAAAGGGCATTCTTCCTCATAGAATGAGGATTACCAATTGCACAAAAACTCCTCTAATCTTTTGATTTACTTGCACAAAAATGTGCTTGAGGTGTGGACGCTCTGTAGTGTAGACATGGGCTCAGCTAGTTCTGATGAGGAGTAAACAGGTTAAGGAGCAATTAGGGTTACCATATTTGAACTTTCAAAAAAGAGGACACTCCTGAGAGGGAGTGGATCTATATCAGTATCTACCAACTCAGGTTGTATTAATATGTTATATAAATACAGATGCACTCCCTTTCAGGAGTATCCTCTTTTTTGAAAGTTCAAATATGGTAAACCCTAGGAGCAAGAATGGAAGCACTCAAGCATTGAGGTAGCATGCTATGAAAATCCAGAAACCACCCAACCCTAATTACTATATGTGTCAGTTCCCCCCACCATGCTTTATGAAATTGGCTGATGAATATAAGTATGCATAACTCAGAGATGCTTTAAACAAAATACTTCATGTAATATATCAATTTTGATGTTGCAATATGCTGGACATGTATATCCTATTTTGGTGCCTGTATCATTCTTGTATGTAAAGTTAGAAAAATGAAATTGTTTATTGTTTTATATATGCTTATGAGAGTCATTATTAGTGCTCTATTAATGACTAGGTGATCAACTTAACAACTTGGAAACAGCTTTGTTTGGTCTGTAAGTCCAAAGATGATTGGACTAGTAAGATATGTAACCATACCACCTGGTATTGGGAGTCCATATTTTTATCCAGGTACTTTTCCATGGAAAGGCGGCTGTAGAAGATCAGATTCATGCGTTGGGGAGAAGACTATTTAATCAAGGTATCAGCTCTTGGTCTTCAGCTGGTCTGCAAAATCTTGGAAGTATACAAAAGGCTGGGGACCCAGATCAAGATAAAAGATGTTGCCTCTACCTCAAGATTATGCCTAGAACAAGAACAACTCGTTAGGGTAAGAATCTGCTTGCAATAAATTTTTTAGTGAATTAGAGCTAGCTATGCATTTTCTTTTCATTTTAATTTAGTAACTTACTTTGCTCTGTCTGTTTTCATTTGCAACCACTTAAATCATACTGTTTGTACTTAATAAAAATGTTTTTGTTTACTATCAGGCCCAATATAACTAATTGTTATTGAGGGGGAGGGGCGACCAGTGTGCATATCTTTTTTTCAGTGATAAAAAGGGCATCCTCATAAGCTTTTCCAGTATAAAACTTTTACACAAAGACAGATTTATTTGTGGTTTTGATCCCTTTGAGGGTTGGTTTCCTGGGTGCTATGTCCTAGAACTGCATCCTCCCAGAGCTGCAGTTGGTCAGTGTCTGCATTGCTCTTCAGAGGAGTGGTAACCCCAACTTTGTGTCTTGTCTGGGGGATACCAGAGAATCTGGCCCAGCAGGACAGGGTGGTGGGGAGCCCCAGAGGGTAAGAAGGCAGGTGTCAGTGGCATAATCAGCACACTGGGAAACAATCTCATGGGGTCTTCTTTGACCAAACCGTCACACAATAAACCACACATTCCACTCCCAGAGAAGTCCCAAAATGTTAAAAATCCAGATTCACTTTGCTATCATTAGATGAGACCACCTTTTTAATGTAAAGCTTATAATTGGTTTTAAATCCACATGATTATTTGTATTGCCTTGAAATTTGATGCACCTGGTGGGGGGGAGGGGTGCTAATGCGTGCGTGTGGGGGGGGGTCTGTTAATTATCTAAATTTGGGGCCATTTGATCAAGTGGTTCCTAAGTTACATCCCCTCCAAAAACAGCTTTTCTTAAAGTTGACAGATTCTGGCAACTTATTTTACTCACAAATAGCAATCAAACCAGACCTCATTTCATTATGCTAGTTTCCAACACTCATGGGCTGTGTCTACACTGCACCCCTTTTCTGGAAAAGGGATGCAGATTAGACAAGTCGGAATTGCAAATGCAGCGGGGATTTACATTTTCCCCGCTGCATTTGCATGAACATGGCTGCCACTTTTTTCTGGCTCGGGGCTTTGCCGGAAAAAAGCGCCAGTCTAGACAGGGATCTTTTGGAAAATAAAGCCTTTTCCGAAAGGTCCTCTATTCCTCTTAAAATCAGGAATAAGGGACCTTTCGGAAAAGGCTTTATTTTCCGAAAGATCCCTGTCTAGACTGGCGCTTTTTTCCGGCAAAGCCCCGAGCCGGAAAAAAGTGGCAGCCATGTTCATGCAAATGCAGCGGGGAAAATGTAAATCCCCGCTGCATTTGCAATTCCGACTTGTCTAATCTGCATCCCTTTTCCGGAAAAGGGGTGCAGTGTAGACACAGCCATGGGGTTCCCCAACAAGAATGCATAGCACATATTAGCCCTTTGGAGAAATCAAATTAAAACATTCTTTGAAAAAGACAAGAGTTTCCCTCTCCAGATAAGCATGAGAATAAACACAAGAGCCTAGTCTCACGCCTAATAAGTTTCACTGATCCTGCATAGACTGAGGAATTAATAATATTGTTAGCCTTTTAAAGCTTTACATTTGCTGGCTAGCCCAAGGGGAGCTGCGCTAGGCCTTTGAACAGCAGGCTACTGTTCATTTGATTCCCATGTAGGGCAGAAATTTGGAAAAGGTTAGATGGCATTTTGCTAAAATCTGTCAATTTTTGTTACTGGATAAGGGTGAAGGAGGAGAAATGTAATCAAAGTATTAGATTTTTTGGACTAGATGACCCTTGCAGTCCCTTCTTATCCTATGATTCTATTCTTATTAAAAATAGACATGTGAATGCCTTCTGGCAGGGGAAGGGAATATTAGCGGGTAAGGAGAAGATGGGGAATGAGGTGAGGGAGGGTTGGAACTCCATTGAGAGCAGAGGGATAAGAGGATAAGTTGTAGGAGAGGAGTTGAGGGCTCATCATGTGCGTTGGTGCAACATGGATGGGTGAAGAGCAGAGAGGTATGTCTGGCACATATCAGAAACTTTTCCAGGAACACACACAGCTTTTTAGGCTGATGTCTCAGAGCTGATATTTCAGGCTGTATTCATCTCCATGGCATAATAAAGCATTCTCTTTCAGCTGAGGAGATATCTCATTGAGATAAATGGGCCACTTAACACTTCTCTGAGCTTGCAGCTTTAAAATTTGAAATCCACCCTGGTTGAAATCTGAGAATGTATTGTAAACACTTGGGAAAAATCTGTCTCTGTTAGTACTTGTTTATTAATTTTGAAGAAGTGTAATCTGAGGACAGCAGAATATTTGCTGGTTTAGAGTACAGGCTCAGGGACTTGACAAAGTGGACCTGGGGCATGGCTGAGGGAGAGAGGAGGAAAACCGGGCTGAAGCAGACTAATAGGGGAAAAAGGCTAAGGCCAGGCTCGGTTGGGGATAGGCAGTGGTCAGAAGGAGTCTGGCCACTTCAGTCTGTATAACTTGGGCTATATAACCATGCAGCCCTCTAAGAACCTGTGATACGTCTTTGCACCATCATAGGACAGAAAACAGTAAACAACTTCCTACCTTTTTAATGTATTATCTAATGGCTTGTAAGCTGAAAATTTTGTGGGAAGGTTAATATTGTGGGGAATTGTGGAGCAGGGACAGGAGAGACATGGAACTTCTCTGTTTTTCACAAACTTGCATTTTGCTGCACTTGACATTCTGGAAGGACACAATGTATCACAGGGAAACCTTAACTCTGCATTAATGAAGTTTTTACCATTTAATGTGTGTATGTTTTCAAGTTTACCTTGCAAGTTCCCTCTTTCCGTAAACTAACATTTAGGCATCACTTTACAAGTGCTCTTCAATTGTTCTAGAGCCTTTTTGATGGCATATTATTTTACTTGTTAGGATTTCTTCAGGAGCACATTGGCTTTCATTTAATGCCCATATGCACTGGGAAATGGACTAGTTGCTAAGTCTCATACGGGTAGCTGTGTTACTCTATAGCTTTAAAACAAAAAAACAAAAAACACCCAACCCAACCTGACAACCAACATCAAGATTGGGTCTTTTTATACCTCTAAAAAAAATGAAAGTAGATTTAAGCTTTGGGTACATGAAGGAAAGGATTTCTTTATAGTTTAAGATATTATTTTAAACCATTATAGTAATACTGATATAACCACCATGAGGACACTTACTCCAATGAGTGTCTTTTTTATAATTTAGATTGGGAAGGAATTTAAACAAAACTCACTCTTATACTGGAATAAAAGCGTCAATACAAGTATTATATTGGTTGGCTAAGAGAAGTTAGTTCTTATATGCAACTCAGTGCATTTCTCTGTTGTAATAACTTTTGAACACTCCTGGCATGGTAAGGGGAATAAGGAACCCTAGCATAGAAGTGTGGGAGGGGAAGGGGGGGGGGGGACAGAGTAGGGATGCTTTCTCTGACTGAAGCTATTCTGGGAGATTTTTTTTTTTCCTACCATGACCTAATGTCATTTTCTTAAAATATCTAATTAAAATCTCCAAGACTGAATTCAACAGTTACCGGAAGATTGATGCTGATTCCAGGAGACTCCAGGAGAACTCTGGAGCATTGGCAGCCCTACAAAGACCCATAGATCCCTGACATGAAGGGGAAAATGAAAGACAATAGTAAGGGGTAGGGTAACATGGGGCACAGACAGACCCCTGGCTTGTGATCAAGGGGGAAAAAGGGGACTGGACTCAGAATAACTGAAAATGAGGTTCAAGAATAGGGGATCTTGGTGTGGGGGAAGGGAGAATGGTGAACCGCACAAAGCCTCTGCCTAAGATTTAGTACCTAATGTCAACTGGGTTTTAAAAACACAATTTCCTATAAATAAAACAACAAGTTGTACTCTGGCAAGGATTTTATATTTTTAGTGGTAAGCTCTTCAGTATAAATACTGTGTTTTGTTTGTTTTTACAAAGCTTTGCACACACTTGCAACATTATATAAATGATATTGTAATTCCATTCTCCAAGAAAGGAGAGAGACCACTTCTTACCTAACAAACAAACAAAATCAAGTTCACACCCATTCTTATCTAGAAGCTGGCCCATCACGAGACCTACATTTTCTGAGAAATAACAAATTCCTCAATTAGGGTTATCAGTACAAAAATTCTGACTATTGTCTTTTCCTTCCTCTCCTAGATGACTGAAACACACAGACAAGTTTCCCCTTTCATAGCTGCAAGTATTAAGATATTTCTTGTTTTGGAATTTCCATTACTTATGGCAGAAGACTGTCCTCACTAGAAGTGAAGAATGTAAAATGACAGAAAATTGATTAGATGACCCAGCAGGAAAATAAAGAGAAAGAAAAGATATGTGCCTTTATCCAAAGATTCTAGCTCCTCTAGCAGAGGAGAGTCTCCATTTCCTTAATTGCTTTTTAATTCCTCTCCTGAGCTTTGGATGGGGTGGAGTGGGAACCCCCTATTCTTGCAGTATTGTTCAGAATAAAAATCATCATGATCTGACATAGGAAAAAAAATCAGTTGGGAGTTAACCTTCTAACCTTCTTATAGACTGCCAAGGTTTAAAAAGAACCTGTGTCTTTGAAACAGCACTTAATTTAATTGTGTACAGGGACTGCATAAAATGCTCCAAAATCAAGTCCTCATCAAATGCTCAACATTGCTAAGTTGCCAAGAGCCTTCTTAAAGAAGCTCTTTCACATTGACTTCTGTTTTTACATTACAGGTTAGAGCTCCCTCATCCAGCATCCTTGGGATATGACCAGTCCCGACTGAGAGAGTTTGCCGGATCAGGTGAAGTCAATCTTGGCTCCCTGCTGCTAGACTTCAGGTTGTCCTGGAGGCCTGCAAACCTCCCAGCTGCTGGTCTCCCTCCCAGCTCTGGCCCAGGCCATGCTCTTGGCCCTGCCGCCAGCCCCTGCTGCTGGCCACTGGACTGTCATCCAGCCTCTACTCCCTCTCTGGACCAGCAACATCCATGGTCCTGCCAAACCATGCATGTTGCCAGATCAGAGAGTCCTGGACCAGAGAAGTCTTACATGTATATACTCTGAGAGCTTCTGCATCAGGCTTAGGGACAATGCTGAGCATGTTAAGCTCTTCTTGGCTTCCTGGAAGTTGGAAGTTTACTACTACCCAGGAGATGAACAGCGTCTGGCAGGACTGCTAATTAAAAACCTGATCATGCACCCCATGAAAGAACTCCCACTGTCTCTGTTGGGAGCAAGATTACACCCTAAAGATAGTGTGAAAACTACTGATGAAGAATATGGAACTAAGGGTTTGTCTGCATTGGGATATATTTTTTTAAATATGTTTTTGTGTATAAACATTTGTGAAATAAGTAAGTGCTCTTCAATTGTTTGTATTAACCTACCTCCATTCAAATACATGCAAGGCTGGCTTTAACCTATTTCCCTTTGAATCAGTGTATCTGCACAACATGGATTTTTTTACAAAATAAGAACAAAGCATTCTGGATAGATATCCAAATAACAGAAATGTCCTATTGCTGGGTTCTATGCATTCTGGGATTTTTTCTTTGAAGTCATTATGGGAAGGGCTGGCAACAGACTTCACTGGAACCTTGACAATGTGGGGGAAGGAGCGGAGCCTAAGGGGGAAGGAACATAGCTAGGGGCAACCTGCCCCTCTGCACCACGCCGGGCTCCAAAGGTGATATAAAGGGCCCAAGGTTGTGGCCCCCACCACTACTGGCAGCAGTGGAACCTCAATGCTCTGGGCCCTTTTACATCACCAGGCCTTGGAGCAAACCTGTTGGCAGCCCTGATTATGGGGTACCCACCAGAAGCCCAAATTTGGGGCTTGGGGTTAAAAGAGCGGATTCACATTCATCTGTATCTTGCATACCGATGCATTTTTCAAACTGCTGCCAGCCAGCAGAGAGAGGACACACTGCTGCCAGCCATGATCCTGACAGTTGTTAATATACAGACTCTGCTGAACTTACATTTGCAGTCATACAGATGGATGGGTGTAAGTGTGAGAGTCAGTGTTGCCATGTTGATCTGGGTGGAGGATGAGGATGAAGTTGTGTCCAGCTACAGTTGGAGGAACTTTTCCTGGAACAGTTTCACTTGGTGAAAGTGCCATTTTGGGGCTCAGGAAACTAGCACTAAATGGTGAGAAAAGAAGAGAGATGCAGACCTGGGATGATCAACCATGGCAGCTGAATTTCATAATGACAAAGCCCACTTTCCTAGGAATCTGTGCAGAGCTCCCCCTAGAGTGTGCACCAACATGAAAATTCCCCTCCTATCAGGAAAGTATGGGCTATCACCAACCAGAGGCTTACCACTCCACGTTGCTATGGATCAATAGATAAACTGATCAAATGTTGAAGCTGTTGTCATGTGGGTGCACGTTGCTCTCAAGAGGACACTGCCATGTCAGTTCACAAAGAATGGCAATGCAAAGGAAGTTATTGATGTGATGAATTTGCATGGTTTGGATTCTTTGATCGCCCTCCCTATGACGGATTGGGCCGGGTCTGGGCACTGCTGAGGGCATCTGCTCTGGGTGAATTGCTCAAAACCAGAGCTCCTTACAGCCCCAGACTGGAGACCTTTCCCAAATAGGCTAAAAGCCAGTCACACCGAGCACTTCAGCTGCCAATCCGGCCAGCAGGAAGCCTCATGAGCAAAACCCCTCAGATACCTCAGCTCTCCCTGTGCCACAATCAGCCCCAGGCCTTGCACACAGGTGAGTGGTTATAGAATCCAATCTCACCTAGCCCGAACAGATTCTCCCAGTCCCAAAGAACCAGCCACAGATCCCCGGTCAATTTCCACTTTAGATCTTACCCACAAGAGAATGCTGGGCTGTTCCTTTACAATCTAAACTCTAAAGGTTTATTAACAAAAGAAAGAAAAGGTTGAGAGTTAGGTTGTTAATGAGAATATATTACATGCACCAATCACCAAGTTCTTGATGCAGGCTCTTAGTAGAGATGTTACAAACTGCTAGCTTAGAAGTCTCTGGTGTACATCCTATGTCAGGATGGGCCAGCAATCCTTCCCGCTTTCTGTCCCTGGCAAGGCTGCATCTGGGATCAATAGCAAGATTAAAGACAAAATGGAGTCCTCCTCATGACACTTATATATCAATTCCTCGCGTCTCCCCAGCTGGAGCAGGTCACATGGTCAAGTGACCTATATGTGTTTCCCATGTCAGCTGCCATCATGCCCTGGCTGGTTTCCATGTTTCTAGATGCATTCCTCAGGTGTGTACTGGCCACCTTTATAGCCATTGTCCTTGAGGCCGTGCTATTTAGCATAGTCATTGACTGAACAATCCTTCTTTACAACAGGCAGCCCAGGCCCATTGCTCTGTCTCAAACAGAGAACATTCACTGTACAATCACAGAGTTCATATTCATAACTCCACATACAAACATCACACAAGTACATAAGTAGCCTACATAGAATCAGTAGAACATAAGCTATCATTTGACACCTCACATGGTCCTCTTTGTATAGACTTTGGGGCAACCTCCCCCGTGGGCACAGCAGTGATCTGTCTGCTCATTATAAAATCCAATAATGTGACACCCCCAAAAACAAGTCTCAGAGTTCAGCAACAGAAAAAGGTTTATCTATAGGGTACTTCGAGGCCTGGTTTATAACATGGCAGGTTCACTAGTATTAATATGGAGTGATCTTTAGCAAATTGGGCCTGTTTTCTACAATGAAAAAGGGAACTTTTGCTCCCAGGACTACTATGGGCACTAAGGGTATTTTGATTAACTTATGGGAGACCCAGTTTACTCTCTATTTCGGCTTACAAAGCCTTTTAGTGGATACTGGACAGGAGCTGTTTAACTATGCCCAGAGTGGTGTCAAAGTAACAGTAGAATGTCCTTTTGGAAGGCTGAAAAAGAGACAGAGGTGCCTGGTGGCAAGCCTGGATGTTGCTGAGCAACAGCTGCTTGTTGTATTTTGCACAACAGCTATGAGAGCAAGGGAGAGAGCCTCCTTGAGGGGTGGGAAGCAGAGGTGCACAGTCTTTGGGAATGTTATGAGCAGCCAGAGAGGCTGCCTCTGCAGACTGCAGCAAATCATCAGGATGTAATGCCCTGAGCTTTCACTTGGAGGCTAGAATCTAACATGACATTTTATTATGCATTATGTAAAGATTTCATTAGTCTGTCTGCAAAGATTTGATGCAATGTAATTTGGTTATGCTTTGCACAGTGATTTCATTAAAGGACATTGTGTTATGCTATCTAGCGCATGTGATTTTGTGAAATTGTACTGAACGTCTGTCAATAATATAGTGAATGAAAAGAAGTGTGGTTAATAAAAAAAAATCACTGAACATAACACAAATTTAGATTAAAGGAATATAAACCACAACAAATAAAAGTGCAACTTTCATGGAACATAATGCAGATGTGGCACATCCACCTACAGTGCTAAGTGTACATATTTATGCTGCTGTCCTGATCACAAAGGCATGTAGGTGGTGGGTTCTTGATTGCTGCCTTAGTCTTGGGATGTAAGATGGTGTCAAAACTTCAATCAATAGTTGGTTTACTTTCTCCTGGTTGAGCATAGTGTAGCAGCGCCTCCATCTTGGTCACATCCAGCCATTACTGCCTGTCAGCAAGGGGTGATCTGTCCCTTCCTGTGATTCAGTTCTCTGGCCAGGTCACTTAGCGTATGTCTACAGTGTAGTTAAAACCCCATGGCTGGCCCATAATTGACTTAGGCTTGCACAGCTTGGGCTAAGGGGCTGATTAATGGCAGTGTGGACATTTGGGCTCAGGCCGCAGTCTCAGCTCTAGGACCCTGTGAGGTTGTGACCATGCTTCTGCCAGACCTATAGCCTTTTGTGCCATCTGTTGCTAGTTGGTCACTTGGTCATAACTGGAGAAGTAACAGATCCAGTATTTAAACTGTCCTGATGGCTGAAGTGTGTGTGTGTGTGTGTGTGTGTGTGTGTGTGTGTGTGTGTGTGTGTGTGTGTGTGGATTGTCTAATTCACAATAAGTCACCAGATAATTTGAAGGGGAAAAAAAGAGTTTCTGTGTGTGAATGCAAGGAAGTTTAATTTTAAAAACTTCCCAATGTGGTCAAGCCCAAAGTGGAAGTTGACGGCAAGTTATAGAGCCTTTCACCTCCAGTTCATTGGTTAGAATCTGTCCCTGTCAGGTAGTGGCTGAAAGTGCTTTTTGGTCATCAATATGAAGTAAGTGAATGGGCTCCATCCAATGTCTAGAAGATAAAGACTTGCACTATGATGGACTTCCTTGTTAGCACTGTCTGAAAGATCAAGGGCTGGATGAGCATGATGACAGAACTACCTTGTAATTCAGTGAGATATAACTAATAGCTGTAAAGTCACGTGTTTCTTTGAGGCCCTGCATGTGGCTCCCAAAGATTCCTTGGGTAGGATCAGAACTTCTATATTGTACATTTTTTGTGAAGTTGCAAGAGAAGTGCCAATAAAATGGACCAGAACAACCAGGCCCCTTCGTATTCCCTGTGAGTTACAAGGGGGAAAAACAATAGTAGGAGGGAGGAAGAGAGAGAACTGCCGCCCCTCTTCCCAGTAGCTGAAGAGAAGTAATGAGAAGATAGCATCAAATAGATTAAAAATAAATGCAAAATAATTATATCCTCACATGGCATCCTAGCACTACT